TCCCCCTCCCCACAACAGACACCCTGGGATGTAGGTGGGGCCGAGAGAGCTCTTTCGAGGACTGCTCCTGAGAGAACAGCTCTGAAAGAACTTGTGACTGGCCCAAAGTCACACCAGCTCTGCACGCGGAGGAGTGGGGAGTCAAACCTGGTTCTCCCAGATTAGAGACCACACTATACCAAAGTGGAGTTGGAAGGGGCTGTACAGGCCATACAGGCCAGCCCCCTGCTCAATACAGGATCACCCTAAAGCATCCCTTAGAAATGTTCATCCAGCCACTGTCTGAAGACTGCCAGTGGGGGGGTGCTCACCACCTCCCTAGGCAGCTAATTCCTCAGCTGAACTATTCTTACTGTAAAAAATTCCCCCCCAATATCCAGCTGGTACCTTTCCACCCGTAATGTAAACCCATTATTGCGAATATTATCCTTTGATGCCAACAGGAACAGCTCCCTGCTCTCCTCTAAATGGCAGCCTTTCACATACCTCAAGAGAGCAGTCATGTGTGTGTCCCCCCCCCACACCTCCTCTTCTCCAGAATGAAGAGATAAAAACACGACAGGTCTACAGTGTGTGTGTTCAAAAGGTATGAAGCTGCCAGTTCGTGGAGGCTAAGGAATAAATGCTTGTACTTTTTGAGAATTCCCCTTTGAGAGCTGGGGTACCCGTTTTATTTATTCATATCTCACGCTTCTCCCCAACGGATACCCCAAAGAGGCTTCCAACCTCGTTCTCTTCTCCATTCGCTGACGTGTCTTAATTTTGTTTAGGGTGGGAAAATGGCCTATTACGAAATGCGGGCCGAGCACAGCGTGGATATCGACGTGGACATCGACTGGCCGATCGCCGAGCAAAGAGTCTTGAGGTAAAAAAGAAGCAGCATTTCTTGGACCATTCGATTTGTCGCTATGGAGAACCTTTCATTCCCCTGGTTTAGTGCTGAAAGATCTCCATAGAGTCAGCTAAGCTGATTGGCCAGGCCCTTCCACCATGAACCGCCCACATCCATCGTGCCTAGATCCATTGATAGGACTACCAGGGAGATGGCCGACTGGGAAGCCCCTCCCCAAGGAACACTTTGATTGGATGTTGTTGTCCGCGTTGCCCCAAGCCACTGGGGGAGCTTATTTGGAGACTGAAAAGGGGATTAATAATATAATAGCAAAGCCCTTCCAGACAGGAGGATGAGGTTCATAGAAAATTATTATGCCAATTAAGATGTTCCAGGTATCTCTTTCTTAAAACACTTTTTGGGGAAACCTTTAAACCAAACTTGGGGCAAACTCAGCAAAAATCTAGGTAAAGGTAAAGGTTTTCCCCTGCTCGAAAGCTAGTCGAATCCGACTCTAGTGTTGCGGTGCTCATCTCCGTTTCCAAGCCCAAAGAGCCAGCGCTGTCCGAAGACTTCTTCGTGGTCATGTGGCTGGCATGACTAGACGCCAAGGTGCACAGAACGCTGTTGCCTTCCCACCGAAGCGGTACCTATTTATCTACTTGCAGTTTTTTGCTTTCGAACTGCTAGGTTGGCAGGAGCTGGGGCCAGAGACGGGAGCTCACTCCGTCATGCAGTCCTCGGGTCTCGAACTGCCGAACTACAGACTTTCTGGTCTGCAGCTCAGCGTCTTAACCAGCTAGTTGTGACTAAATTCCATCGTGAGCAACGAAGGCTCAGAACCGGCTCAGAGCCAGCGTGCTTTAGTGGTCAGAGTGTCAGACTAGGGTCTAGGAGACCCAGGTTCGAATCCCCGTTCAGCCGTGGAAGCCCAGTGGGTGACCTTGGGCCAGTCTCTCTCAGCCCACCCTACTTCACAGGGTTGTTGTGAGGATAAAATGGAGAAGAGAAGAATGCTGTAAGCTGCTTTGGGTCTCCACTGGGAGAAAAGCTGGGGTAGAAATGAGCTAAGTAACTCATGCTGGCCCCTGGCTGCAGAACCCCCGGTCCAGGCTAACACTAAATTCAGTGCCTCTGTGTGGTGTAGTAGTCAGGCCAGGGGTTCTCAGAGAGGTGCTCACCGGTGCAGTGGTGCCCACCATACCTTTCCTGGCACTCTCCGGGTGTTTTTAGAATGTGGGTGGAGACAGCTAGCAAGGCTACTGATTGGTCCGGGTGTTTTTAGAATGTGGGTGGAGACAGCTAGCAAGGCTACTGATTGGTCCGGGTGTTTTGAGAATGTGGGTGGAGACAGCTAGCAAGGCTACTGATTGGTCATTGGAAATTTTGATTGGCTGTGCCTATTTTTAAGGCGTGATTTTGGCAGCAGGTGCCTCCACAACACAGATATCTTTACTGAGTGACCCTAGGGTAAGCCAGATGCTGGTGGGTTGCCATGTCGGTCTGAAGCGGCAGAACAAAGTTTTGAGCCCAACGGCACCTTGAAGACCAACAAAGTTTTATTTGAGGTATAAGCTTTCGTCTGCAGGCACACTTCCTCAGATACAATGGGGGGGGGAATCATCGTTATCTGAAGAAGGGTGCTTGCACACGAAAACTTATGCCGCAAATAAAACTTTGTTGGTCTTCAAGGTGCCCCTGGACTCAAAGGGTAAGCTGCGTCTCGTGGACGGCTCTGCGTCTCGTGGCTGGCTCTGCCTCCTGCCGCCACCGTTTTGTGGCAACCGTTTTGCGAATGTGCCCCCACCCACCAATACCGTGTCTGAATTCCTAAGGTGCCCACAGGCTCAAAAAGGTTGGGGGGGGGGGCAACTTGGACTATTGGACTAGAATCTGGGAAGCCCAGGTTCGAATCTGCCATAGAAGCTCTCACTGGGTGACCTTGGGCCAGTCATAATCTCTCAGCCTCACCTACTCCACAGGATTGTCGTGAGGATGAGACGGAAGAGAAGATACACACAAATCTGCCTCACAGAATCAGACCCTTAATCCACCAAGGTCAGTCTTGTCTACTCAGACTGGCAGCCACTCTCCAGGGTCTCAGGCAACGCTCCCTCTCAGCTGTAGAGTCTCGTGAGGAAAAATTCTACTTTGTGAGGTACCGGCGTTAAGGTTGTGAGCGAGCGATTTGGCGGCTGCGTGAATCAGTTTGCTCTGGAGCCCTCCTTCCTCAGCGAAGACGAAAATGTGTGAGCCGGAGGCTAAAAAGCTGCGAGCCGGCTCACACTAACTCAGCTTAGAGGGAATGCTGGTCTGTTGGGTTATTGTCATTAATTTTAAAGTTAATCAGCAGAGTAATCAGCATTCAGCAGAGTATTAAAGAGTCAGAGTCCATGGTGTGTTTAAATATAAAAGTTTACTACAACCTAGCATGGGGAAAAGGTATACGGGATGAAAAATAACAAAGAGCTATATTTCTACATCCTTACAGCTAGACAGAACATGGCAGGAGACTAATGGAGACTAAACGAGACTGAACTTCTTCTTGCTCAGGACAAAGAGCCATAAAAGACTAATACCAGCCACTCTCGTCTCCAATCAGAACGACAAACTAGATCTGAAGTTACCGGGCTTTCTAGCTCTCTAGACTTATTGGTTACAAGCAAACATGTGATTTAGTAAACAGTATTAACCTAGTAAATACTGAACAGTGTTTTAACTTGGAACACCCAACATGGTCCCAAGCAGGGGTCTTTCCCATCACCTGTATCCTGGTCGTTTTTTTAACTGGAGATGGTGGGGATCGAACCTGGGTCCTTCCGCACGCCAAGCAAAGGCTCCACCACTGAGCCACAGCCTCTCCCAGGTGATTTAAGCTCCTTTGGATCCCCAGTGGAGAGAAAGGCAGGGTAGAAGTAAATGCCAAATACTTTTTGTGTTGCATCTGGCTGTTATGACAGGGTGGGGCTGATGGGCCACGAAGCAGCAGCTTCTCTCCTCAGTCTCGATCGCTCCCTCTGCGTTTCCAGGTTCGGCTATTTCGGAAAAGAGGCCCTGAAGGAGGTGAAGTTGCTGGTTTGCACCATCGATGGGTGCCTGACCACCGGCCACATCTACGTGTCTGAAGACGGGAAAGAGGTCCTTTCTTACGACGTCCGGGATGCCGTTGGGATTCAGCTGTTGCAGCAAAGGGGCGTCGAGGTACGTTTGACTTCTGACTGGTGTGTGTTGTAGGGCAGGTTGGTCGTGGAAATTTCAGTTTAGAGAAGAAACTTTTATAGAAGGGCTTTAAGGCCAGCAGCCCATATCTACCTGAAAGAAAGAAAATTATTATCATTGTCACATGTAGCAGCGGTCGCCAGTCTTTTTGAGCCTGTGGACACCTTTGTAATTCTGACACAGGGGGTGGCCGCCATTGTTCCCTCTAAGCTTAGTGAGTGTAAGACAGCTCTTAGTTCTTTAGCTTCCGGCTCACACCTTTTTGTCTCCGCTCAGGAAGGAGGGCTCCAGATCCAACCAATTGATGCAGGAGCCAAATCGCTCCCTCACAACTTTAATGCCAGGAGCTCACAAAGTACAGTTTTTGCAGACAAGACTCCACAGCTTGGAGGGAGCATTGGGCCGTAGTTGCAAAATGGCCGCCGCAGGAGGCAGAGCCAGCCACAAAATGGCTGTCATAGCCTGCCTTCTGTCACGCAGTGAAGATCCTTGCGCTGTGGCTGCCCAAGCAACGTTTTAAAAAAATGCGCATAGCTAATCAAACCTGCAGTGGCCAATCAGAAGCCTTGCTGGGCGAAAGCCCCATTTGCTTTTCCCTCCAAAACGCTGCTTCACGGGTTTGGTTTCTCTGCCACACTCCCTTCTGCCACTTTAGTTCTGTCAGAGCTGTTCTTGAAAAAGAGCAGTTTCCGTCAGTTTCCGTCAGAGCTCTCTCAGCCCCAACATGGGTTCTGTAAGGGAAGATCTTGTCTCACTAACCTGTTAATGTAGCCGTTCTGAGATACCTTTGGGTAGTGAAGGGCGGGGTATAAATCCAGTCTCTTCTTCTTAATACCCCTTTGGTCTGTCTAGGTGCGGCTGATCTCCGAACGGAACTGTTCACCCAAGACGCTTTCCGCCATGAAGCTGGGTTGTGTGGCGGAAGTTGGCATGGCCACCAAGCTGCCCGTTGTCGAGAAATGGAGGACGGAACTGAACTTGTGCTGGAAGGAGGTGGCTTACTTAGGTCAGGGTCTTCTCGCAAATGTTTTTTTTAAACTTTTAATTAAAAAAAATTATTGTATTTATTACAATATATATATGAAACAAGAACACATCAGTACCGTACAGCCTTGTGATAAGTAAGGAATTGAACATATAAGATGCATAGAACGTCATATGACAATATTTCATATTCATTTCATTAAACTTACAGCTCACCCTGCTCACATTGTAGGCTCAGGGTGGGTAACAACATATATGTATCTGCAGTTAATGCAGGTTTACAATATTAAAACATTATTACAGTACTCAGTTTAAAATCCATAAAATTATCATCCTACTATCATTAAAAACATCTGCATTGACTACTTCTCAATTATGTTGCATTAGAGAAGTGGATCATAACACCGAATTTAAACCAACCGACTACCAAACGTACCATACCACCTTTGTAATGTCAGATCTTAAGGGGAGTTCCTTTGAACCAATTGTTTTAGGAAATGTTTTTCATAACGTCTTGAAGTTTCTGTCCTTTTGGACAAGGCACTGGCGATGACCGTCAATTTGCAAGAGCTGAGCACAGCTGTCACTGGGCGCTTTCACACGCACTAAATAAAACACTATATAACACACTCTGCACATGCAGCTGGCTGGGTGACCTTGGGTCAGTCACAAGTTCTCTCAGAGCAGTTCTTGAAGGAGCGCTCTCAGCCCCTCCTACTTCACAGGGTGTCTGTTGTGGGGAGTGGAAGGGAAGGTGATTATAAGTCCAATGGCACCTTTAAGAGCCAGTTTGGTGTATTTATTTTTATATTTATTTAGGCATTTTTACCCCGCCCTCCCCGCGAGCGGGCTCAGTGGTTAGGAATGCGGACTCTAATCTAGGAGAACCAGGTTTGATTCCCCACTCCTCCACATGCAGCTGTTGGTGTGACCTTGGGTCAGTCATAAGTTCTCTCAGAGCTCTTCTCTCAAGGGCAGTTCTCGAAAGAGCTCTCTCAGCCCCACCTACCTCACAGGATGTCTGTTGTGGGGAGTGGAAGGGAAGGAGATTGTAAGCCACAACAGATCTGTGAGGTAGATTAGACTGAGAGAGTGTGACTGGCCCAGGATCACCCAGCAAGCTTCCATGGCCCAAGTGGGGATTCGAACCTGGATTTCCCTACTAGTGATGGGTTTCGAATAATCCGGTTCCGTACGTTTGGCGCCTCTGTCACTGCAGGAAACGAGGAGTCGGACGTGGAGTGTTTGAAGAAAGCCGGCATGAGCGCGGTCCCCGCCGACAGCTGCCCGGCCGCGCAGAAAGCCACGAACTACATTTGCAAATGTAACGGTGGCCGTGGCGCGATCCGGGAGTTTGCAGAGCACATCTTCCTCCTGATGGAAAAGGTGAATTCAGCGGGAAAGAAAGCATGATAAGAAACCCCCGAAGCCGCTACCGCTGTAGGGGAAAGAAGAAAGTGTCTCCTTATTCCTTCTCTCTGTTGGTTTCTCTGTCGTTTACTTGTGGTTTGGGTTTTGACATTTCAGAATTTCCAAAGAGCATTGCCGAGAAATGTGAAGCACGGTCTATATCCCCCCCCCCCAAGCACTTAAATGTTAATTTCCAACTGCTGCCCCCCATTAGTGCAAAAGCCACCACCCGTCAAGCCGATAACAGTCAATTCAGCTTGACGGGGCTTTGTTAAAAGGTTAAGAAATTGATGGCGTTAATGCCTGCTCCTCCGTGGCCTGGCTCTGGAGAAGACGTAAACGTATAAAAATAGAACTGGCCAAAAAAGATTTTGTTTTCTTTCCCGTTTAAAAAGAAAGGGGGGGGGGAGAGGGGGTTTTCGGTCACATCTTTACCCGCAGTCACCGAACCAAAGTGATTGGCCGAGATCAGCCATTACGTGAAACCACGGTTTATTCGAGCTAATACGGTTAGTTGGCGAAGTCAGGATTCGGCATGTCCTGTTTCGCCTTGACAATTGCTGCTTTCGTTGCCTTCGTTCTGGCCAGGCGTCACTGTATTTAAAGTAGATGGTAACAGCCAAGAAGTGTGTCAGAAAAAGATCCCGATGAAGGAGAACTGTATCCTAACTGCGCTCAATAGATTTTTAAATATTAAAGTGTACAAAATACAAAAATTATTCGTGAAGTACAAAATACGTAAGATGAGTACAAAATATATACAGGTTTTCAATAGTTATTCGTTGTTGTAGACGTCACATGACCAGAGATGTCACATGGTCTTCGTTTTCCTTCATCTGTTCAGAAGAAGATACCTTTCGAAACGGTGGAACGTTCCAGAGGTCATCGTTAACAACCAATACGACAAAGAATAACTATTGAATACCTGTATATATTTTGTACTCATCTTACGTATTTTGTACTTCACGGATAATTTTTGTATTTTGTTCCCTTTAATATTTAAAAAATTTATTGAGTGCAGTTAGGATACAGTTTTCCTTCACTGGGATCTTTTTCTAAAACAGGCGTCACTGTAGCCCAGGGCGTGAGTTTCGACCAAGACTAGCTGTGAGATTGCAAAGCAGAATCACGCCCTTCTAAATCCGCAGTGGCTTTCCCAAGGAGTAACTGTGTTGGGATCACAGTGCAAGGCGAGACGTCTGCATCCGATCCATCACGTGAAATCCTAGTTTCCTCTACGGTTAATCTACCCGCCGTGCTTTCAGATCCTGGTTCGGTGGGCTCTGACTCAGTGGAATGCTGTGCCTTCAAACCATCAGGCTAACGTGGAAAATCAAAACGAGTCCTTTGCTTCAAGTTTTGTCCAAACTGAAGGCAAGGGAGGCGGTAAGTGTTTTCAGCCACCGAAGCCCTTGCAGATTCCCAGCTCGACATGAGTGACAGCAACAGGGGCTAGGGAACCCGGCAACTGACGGGGGCAGGAGGGGACTTACTGGTGACTTGCTGGTGACACGCTGACGTCACTGGCGAAGGGCTGACGTCAGTGCCGGTGAGCCATAGAGTTTTGCCTAAATGCCAAGGCGTCCCAGGCATCCCTCAGCAATGGGGTGACATCACTTCCGGGTGCACAGGAAGTGACGTCAGCCTATCAAGATTGTGTTGACGCCTCCCTAGCCACTTTGGCACCACATTCCTTCCGGCGGCCAGCTGAGCAACGGTGGGGAGCATCTGCCGGAGGTGGGGGCTCCCCTGCTTCCAGCGGGGTCGTGGAAACCCTAGAGATGATAGAGAAGAGTTAACGTTTTGGGTCTCTCAGCACCCCACTTTCCTCCCATTCCCCCAGTTAATTGAACTGGCTAAGTGTAAAAAGGCACGGAACTTTCGCAGCCAAGTAATTCACAAGCGAGCTCTCTGCCGCTTTAAAACCTCTCTGACTGTCCTCCTAGATGAGGCCCCCCCCCATTCGTCAAAATCGCCGGAGGCTCTTTCGATGGCATGTGCCACTTCTGACTGGAAGCAGGAAGGTGATTGTATTTTAATATGTTTTTTTTTAAAAGATAGCGCAGCAGGAGAAAAGGGTTTTAACTTCGCTTCTTCCCCTGATGTGCTAGTTTTCTACAGGCAGGTAGATTTTTAAAAAAATAAATGTTGGGTATTCAGTTGTGCGACACCCCCTCTGTATGGGTTGCTACTTCACTACTGTGTCCGTGGTCGCGGTTCCCATTGATCGGCGACTCGCGTTTCCCATTGCTGTGGGTCTGCCTACCTCGCAGGGTTGTTGAGGTGGTAGAATGACAGAACCCCGTGTGTGCCTTTCTCAGCTCCTCGGGGGAAGGATTTGGGGTCATCGCTCAGTTTGATATTTATGTATGTGCAACTGTAATTTCGGGGAAAGGGGCATCATTCATGCCCTGTTGGTAATGGTGAAAAATAGGAGTTCAGGGCGGACGGGATGTCTGCGATCTTGTTTTATGCTCCCATCTGACATGTGTCTTTTTGAAGCTACGTTATTGTTTTTTTACTGCTTGTGTATCTCTAAGTGGGCTATGATAACTTAATTTCCCTGGGTCGATTGTCTTTATGGGAACTGGAAAATGACGCCGTAATTCCACAAATGCAGTTGCTTTTTGCATGCCCTGGTTCTGGATGAGTTACGCAGCACCAGGATTTTTATTTGTGGGGTGCTTTAGGGAGCAGAGCAGCGCAACCTGTGACTTGCCCCGCTGAAAACCAAAGTTTGCTAGCCAGGCACTTCTTAACCTCCCTGTGTTTGCAGTCCTAGGCAGGTAGCATAAACGGGAGGTTTTATCCAGTGGTAGTGGGGAAGCCACAGTTAGTGCCTGTGGGTGGAAAAGCTGCATTTGGCTCAGTGAGTCCCAAGCAGTGCAAATCTTACACATTTACCCTCCACCCCTCTGCTACTGAGACTGTGCACACAAGCAAATGATTTGGATTACTGGCAAATGGAAGGCTGCAGACAGACAATACAGGCTACGTAGTCTTCCAGTTGTCTCATAGCATCTCTTTGATTCCGGGGATCAGGGGGGACTAAAAATGAAGAACTTTGAACTTTGGGCAAAACCAAATGAGATGAAGATCCCACCCCTCTCCGTCCAGCTGTAAAATGCAGATTGCAGCCCCAATTTGCCTTGGGGCTGTGCTGGGAAAGTAGTAGAGAAGGGCGTTAACCCTTCAACCTCCAGACGGTTTTGCTATTCAAAATAGGTTTCCAAAGGGGGGGGGGATGTCCTTGAAAACCACGTTTTCCCTTTAAAATGCTGACAAAGCAGGGGACCCTGTTTGCTTTGTTGTCAGTATTTTAAAGGGAAAACACACACACACCCCTTTTAAAATCAGTATCACAGAACTGGGAATTGGTTTTGATTAGTAAAACTGACTGGAGATTGAAGGGTTAACCATCCTCTGTTCCCTTTCCTACATGACCACAAGGCAAGTTGAGGCTGCAGGAGCCTGCAATTTGCAATTACTCAACTGACACAAATGTGTGGTCTTCAATTGCTCTCTTTTTTTGCCCTTAAATTCTCACATTTGTGGACTATACTGATAAAGATCTGACTGATTTATTGTTGATTATTTATGCACCACTGATAAAGATATGACTGGTTTATTGTTGATTTATTTATGCACCGATAATGAATTACCAATCTTTGGATGGTTTTGGGGTTTTTTTTCTACTCAAGAATTAAAAAAAATATGCTATGGTATGTTTTGTTTTCTTTCTTCAGTGCGTATGAGTACAACAACGCTCCTTAAGAGAGCAAAGTTTGAGTCTGGTGGCACCTTTAAGACCAACAAAGTTTTGTTCAAGGTATAAGCTTTCACCTACAATGAAATGTCGAAAAGGTAGAAGAGAGAACTGCCATTTTGATATCGGCTAGTAGTTTGGGGCCACTAAACGTGGCCTTGTCTTGAAAGTCGGCCCAGCCAGCCAGAAAAGGATGTTGGAGATAAGCCAGTGGGTCATACCGGACGGTCTCTCGCCGTCTGGCACATCGACGTTGTCATTTTGACATAATTTTTTGTGACATAATGAACGGCGGTCAGCATATTCGAAGAGGACGTCGCGTTCTGCCAGGATGGATCAGAAAGTCCCCGCGGTATAAAAAATTTCCTGTCCTACGTTGTTCTTGCTTTGAGCGAAATTAGCTCTTCGGTTAATTTGACAGGCTAAGCCCGTTGCGGCTGGAGGAAGGGTCTCAAGGCACGGATTGACTCCAAGTGTCCAGAACGCTCTGTCCAACTCTGGTTACCAACCTTCAGGTGGAGCCTGGAGATTTCCCGGTGTTACATTTCATCTCCAGACAACAGAGATCCCCTCGAGGAAATGGCTGTCTTGGAGGGTAGACTCTGTGGCATTGTAGCCTGCTGAGGTCCCTCCCCCAAGCCCCTCCCTCTCCTGGCTCCACCCCCCAAATCTCCAGATATTCCCCATCCCAGAGCTGCCTTCCCGCCCGCCCGGCGGCCCCGTACTCATTTACATATTAAGCGACACACCCCTAATGTAGCCAATCCTCCAAGAGCTTACAGTAGCCCCTGTAAGAAGAGCTCTGTAAGCTCTTGGAGGATTGGCTACATTAGGGGGTGTGGCCTAATATGCAAAGGAGTCCCTGCTACAAAGAGAGCCCTATACCCAGCCCTCAGCAGGAGCCCTGATCTCACACACCTTGCTGCACAGTTCTCTCCACATGAGCAGAGAAGCAAGCAATAAGACAGATTTCGCTGCTTCTGTGGGGGAAAGCATGCCCACACCTCACAAAGCTTGCCGAGATGTAGCGCTGCCAGCTCCCTTGATGGCGGCGGGGGTCCCCTACTGCCAGGCTCCGCTCTGCTCCCCCATTGTTGGTGACGTCACTTCTGGAGTGTATAGGAAGTGACATCATCACACCAGTGATGTATGGTTGATGCTCTGGTATTGGGCAATCCCCCCCTCCCCCAATACCAGAGCATCTCCAAGGCGTTGCAGCTTGATGAGGTCACTTCCTGTGCACGCCAGAAGTGACATCTCCCTGTTGCCTAGGCCTTCCTGTCTTGGTAAGCCCCCCCATCCCCCGCCAGTTGCCACGAGGGACCTGGCCACCCTACCGAGAAGCCATGGGACATGGAACGTCAGAAGAGTCAGTTTGGTGTGTTAGTTAAATGCACGGACTCTAATCTGGGAGAACCGGGTTCGATTCCCCACTCCTTCACTCGCAGCTGCTGGATGACCTTGGGCAAGCCGTAGTTCTTCTGTCAGAGCTGTTCTCTCTAGGAGGGCCTTGGAGATGAGGAAGTCTGCGGGGGAACAGAGTGTGCCTTCAAGTGGCCCATCGCTTACTCCTGCTCTGTCACCTGAGCTGGACATTAGCCGCCACTAAAAATTAGCCGCCAACCTGGTTTCCGATCCATGCCAGAAATCTTGTGACCAATTTAATAACTAATAAAATCACTTTTGTGCGAGCTAACGTGTTCGCAGCCAGCGAGTGGATCACCATTTGGCAGGCGTGCCTGTCGTTTTCTGGTTTTGAATTTCACAGGATTCCGTTTCACTCTCGTTCTTCCTGCTTTTCGCAGCCATTTGGGCCTTCCTGGTTGGTTGGTTTCCCGATCTCCTACGTAAAACGACTGCATGGTGAGGATCCGCTCACAAGAATCGGGAGGCGTGGGCTTT